GTTGTGGAACTTGTGCATTGGGAAGTCAGATTGCTGTCCAAATATCTCACTCTCCTTCCTTTTGATTTAGTAGTGTTTTTTAAAATGTGTTGGTATGTACCATCCAGTATGTTCTCAATATGTGAAATGTCAACTCATTTGCATACATATTTACAAAACTGCGTAATTAACAAGGCTTCCATTAGCACAATATGTAAAAAATAAAATGATAAAGCAAACCAAGAAGTAATCACTTTGACGACTTGGTAGACATCTACTACTTCAAAGCATAATATAATTTCTTCTGTCTGTGTCAGAGCCTTTAGATATGCCTTGTGTTGCCATGGTGTTCTTGTCAAACATGTGTAGAGAAATCTGTTTTAAAGTGTACACTTCAGCTTCAGCCTTTTATAAATTATTTCTTCCAGCTGGTCAGATATCGTAGTAGGATATTATTTAAAGAATTTTTAAGACTTTGTATTGCTCCTATTTGGAGCACTTCTTTGCAGTATGTAGAGGAAGAGGGGTTTTCTTGACATTGCACTTCATGTATCAAATAGCAGACCAAAAAACCATCGAACAGCAGAGCAAGAACACTAAACCACCACTCAGAACTGTCTTTAAGCATGGCAACTTTCGGAAAGTATTGCAAAACCAGTTAGTATATCTCCAACCCTCTCTCTCCAGTCATTAGACATTAGAAAGTTAGAAACCTTCTAAAATCGGCATAATCAGCCTCTGAAGACTTTCAGACTTCTTTTTTTTTACATTATTAATAAACGTATGCGTAAGCTAATGGCTTCTGTATAAACACTGCTTATACGCGTGGTAACTATCTAAGAATATAAAAGCTGCCATGCTACACCAGTTGCAGGATCTGTGCACGCCACTAAGTTCAAAAGCAAACAAACAACACCCCCATCCTCTAAAAAAAACCTCCAAACCTAAAAAGCAAAATTTGAGTTTTGTTGGAATAGCAGAGGTCACTTCTGGTGAAATATAGCAAACAAAAATACTGGTTCAAGTGAAGACACCAAAAATAAATAGAAATTATTGCATGCAAAAAAGGAAGATGGCCTCAGGAATTCGAGCAGTTTATGGCCAACCTCCACTTAATGTACAGATGCAGGGGGGGTTTTTGCCAGCAGACATGAGCAAACTCAACTCACACTGAGAGATGGCTAGAAGCTGTATGGCTGCAGCTAAGCCTCTGCTGAGAGACCAGGGGAATTCCAGACAAGTCTGGACACAGGCAAATGTCTGCCACATCGATACTCCTGTAATGTGATGCCAACTCTGCTGGGCTGCTATAAAGTGAAGGGACCACTGTCAGGATAAGGACGTAGAAGGTGGCTTTGCATTAAGCACTTAATTAGAGATGTTGCTTAAGTGCATGGGAGGTGATAGACTAAAATTACATCAGGCAAGGGGTTGTCCAACAATGACGTTCTGGGGCAGTCTATTATATTTGACACAAAGATTATCAGAGTATTGCTGGAGTCAATACTTTTTCTTTTAAATTATTAAAATCTCTCGTACTACTGGAAAAAGCTGACTGCTAAGATTTATGATTGCAATAATCTGCTCCTAGGGGACTTTTCCTGCAATTGGGCCATTAGTTATTTTAGGGGGCTTTGTAGGGAAGCTCACTCTTAAGAGGAGTGAAGTATGTTCTAGTGCTATGCTTCCTCTGATTTTACTATTAACAGTTTTAAAAGAATTTAAGGAACTTCAGTATTAAAGCAGAAGGCTTTGGAGTTCCTTCACAGAAACATAGAAATGGTTTGGGTTGGAAGGGACCTTCAAAGATCATCTAGTTCCAATCCCCTTGCCAGAGGCAGGGACACCTTCCACTAGACCAGATTGCTCAAAGCCCCATCCAGCCTGGCCTTGAACACTTCCAGGGATGGGGCATCCACAGCTTCTCTGGGCAACCTGTTCCAGTGCCTCACCACACTCATTGCAAAAAAAATGTCTTCCTTATATCCAGTCTAAACCTTATATCTAATCTCTTTCAGCTTAAAACTGTTGCATCTTCTCCTGTCGCTACAGGCCTTGGTAAAGGGTCTTTCTCTCTCTCTCTGTCTTATAAGCCCCTTTTATTGAAAGGCCACAATAAGGTCTCCCTGGAGCTTTCTCTTCTCCAGGCCGAACAAGCCCAGCTCTCTCAGCCTGTCCTCATAGGAGAGGTGCTCCAGCCCTTGGATCATTTCTGTGGCGCTCCTCTGGACCCGCTCCAACAGGTCTATGTCCTTCTTATGTTGGAGGCCCCAGAGCTGGACACAGTACTCCAGGTGGGATCTCATGAGAGCAGAGTAGAGGGGGAGAATCACCTCCCTTGACCCGCTGTCCACGCTTTTTATGCAGCCCAGGATATGAATGTCTTTCTGGGCTTCAGACACTGTCTGAATTTGACTACAGCCTAGGGAGAGCTGTATTCTAGACATGGCATGCTGTGCACTTGTCATCCAGTGCTCTTAGTGTATTGATACACATTATAAGTTTAATGCCAGAAGACAGTTCTGGCATCGAATAACTGTTATCACTGTTTTACTAGGAAAATAATCATGGGTCAATTCACACTGCTGACAGTCCCACAAGAGGCCAATGACCATCTTGGAAATGCACCCCAAGATATTGGTGCCCTAAATTTGTATTTCATCTCCATTATGATTCTTTCTTTGCTCATTGTCTCTCTAACTTCTGACTCTTTTGTAAGTGTTTCGTAGGGTGTATTTCTTGTTTTACACTGAATTTAGGCATCTTGGAGTCCATGGATAGTTAAAACTTATTATAGGCATTACTTACAGACTTGGAAACATTTCCTAAGCAAATTGACTCTTCGTTCCTGAGGCCCTCTTTCCTGGAACATTTGTGTGCTAGGTCAAGATAAATGCATTGAGAACTGGATTTGATACAACAGTCTACTGTTGGCTTGGTAGATGCAATTGGATTGACAACTGTGATTTGGCTGGAAGGAATGCTGTGGGACTAGGGCAGCTTGCCATCAGCCATAAATGTGGTCATGAATGTCTAGCAGGGTGAGCAGAATGAAAGGACGTGAGGAATCTCATAAAATGGAAAAGAAAATCAAAAGAGCCAGTTTGGCATTTAATGAACTTGCTCTCCAGTCAGTTACTTCTCAGTCAACTTTGCTTACAGTGGTGAGACCTTGCTGCAATGGATGAAGGCAGAACTTATCTCCAAAGCTTTACAGAAAATATCAGTGTACCCAAATAAAGGAACTGTTCCAGGTAGCTCAGTCTCAGTGCAGTTTCAATGAATATACGTGGAAGTTAATGGGTGTGACAGTGTCCTTTTCAAGTTTTTTTAATTTTAAATGAGTCTTTATTTTATGTACAAAGTCTTTAAAATGGCCGTGACTTTTGGTCCTTGGAGTTACTTGCCATCTCCTTTTCCTTCTTCAGGCATGTTATCTTTCTATCCCAAAGTGCCATGAGACTGCAGTTTGGTCTGCAAAAATGGATTTGTGCAAGCAGAACAGTGTCCAGAAGCAGAAAAAAGATCTGTATGCAGATTTTTAGGGTTGATGACTCCTCATTTCTGAATCCTTCTTGTGGTTTGTACACATGTACACATCAGTCTTGTCTTCAGACTGTAGTTATAATGAGTGGAAGGGATAGAGTACTTTTTCTAAGAGGAGAGGGGCTGAACACAAGCTCACTAGCTGCAGTTCTTTATCATTTATGTAACCTAGCAAATGGAAGGTTTTTTTTTTTTTTTTTTTTTTTTTGACTCTTCTATCTTGCTATTCTTCAGTGTTAATGCAAATTTTTCTTTAGGAAGTGGTCAGAGAACTCTGTTTTAGAAGACAAGTTGTTCAGCATTGGACTTAGGGCTCAATCCAGCAGCTATTTCAGCTGAAAGAGCTCCTGTTGAGGACAAAGGAGGATAGCAAACATCTTCAGCAAGAAGAACATAAAGTTTACTTGTTTAGTGTTAAGACCACTATAAGTAGCACAGAAGCTAATGAAATTATTTTAACTTTGTATAAGGTGTGCTTATGACCTTTAAAGTTGTAAGCGGCAAGATTGTTTTCCTCTGAAGTGGTTTTTAGTTTTTACTTCCCTGCTTCTAAAAGTTTTGGTTTCTTCCACTGAAGATGTTAGTCTTAGCATATTGATTGACACTTGTTCATTCAGATGCGCAGGTGTGCTTTCTAACAGATTTATGGTTTTAACTGTGTGAATCTATGCATATGAAAAATTACTATGTGACAGTTTCTTGCTTTGATGTGTAAACCTAGTAAGAGTCAATGACCAAGCAGAAAAGTTGTCTGGCTTCTGGTTTGAGTTTTACCATTAGCACAAAAGCATTCCACTTTGACTAATTCCCTGCCTTGTGACAAAGAATGATATAACCCACTGGTCAGATGTGTTATTTCAGGTCCATCTTTAAGCTTGACTCACCGAAATACAAGCTGTTATAGATCCTGGTCTAGGGAAACCTATATTAAGTCCAGGTGTAATGTAGTAACTCAAGTTAGTAGCCTTGAAGATTGCCTCCTTTAGATTCCTACTGGTCAGACTAGAGTCAACTGTGACAGTAATGAATTGCTGATTTAAAAAATAAATTTAAAAAAAAAAAAGAGCATAACTATTAAAAAAGCCAACCTCTTTATTTGTCTCTGCTTCAAATTTACAAACTGTGAGTAGTGTCATGCCTTAGGCACTATGGTTTCACTGGTGATTTCATTAAGTATGTATGTTGTTCTTATTCACATACTTGTCATATTAGGTCAAAAACCTTCACTGTTTTGATAGTTGAACTAAAGCTAGCTTCCAAGCCCGAATTTGCAGGAAGGATGCTTTTCATCAAACTTGTAGCTTTTCATAGGGGCTTTTCATAAAATTGGAATTCTGCAGCCAACACTGGCTTTAAAATATTGCAAAATAAAGCTGAAGCTCATTGTCAAATATAATACGACTTTAAATGATCATGAATGAAAGCAATATGAAGATTTAATTATTCATTTCAGTGTGTGCTTGTTTTTCCCCTAGGCGGCATTGGCAGGGTCGTCAATGGTGCTTTTATGGTATTGAAAGGTCATCGGTCAATTGTAAACCAAGTCCGGTTTAATCCTCACACTTACATGATCTGTTCTTCTGGTGTTGAAAAGATTATAAAGGTAAGATTAATGATCAGGTAATGTGTTCTTTCAATATTTCAGGAAGAAATGCTTTGTTTTGCTTGGCATCGTTCTTTTCCACACCCTTCCTGTCTTCTCATGTTACTCTTTTATAAAGTGGTTTGTCTCATTTGCTGGCTAAACTGATACAAATTTTTAATTGGGCTTTTCACCTTCAAACTCTGCTTCAATTTTAAAGGTTTTAGAGGTAAGGGATAAAATCAGAATTTCCTGGATTTGTACCTTGAAAAAGAAATTGTTTTCCAATATCATTCCATAGATAACTGTAGTATCATACAAGCAGTCTTTCTCTGGAGAGTTTGGTCACAGCTGTAGCATGTGATCTCCTAAGATTTCTGATATTTGGGCTAAAATTTAATAAAAATCTCTCCAAAGAGTTTTGTTGAGCACTAACCTATCCTGACCCAGCTGAATTTGGCCCAAATACTGCCTCAGGAGCCCTTCTATAATTTTTATATACACTTCTGCATTGAATCAATTCAACGTACCTTTCTGTGGCTTCCAGAGGAGACAAGACTCGTAATACCTTCCACAGTATGTCTTTTCTGAATCCTCTAACAATGTACAGTATTTTTGGAAAGTTTGTGCCTTTTTATGTGGAATGTAAAGAGGTAACAAATTTTGGTAGGTTCTGAAACTTTTTTTCCTTAAAGAAAGACAGCTGATATTGTGGGAGCAAGGCTGACACTTTATTGTCATTTCTAATAGCAGAGGTTGAGGGTGGGGAGGCAGAGGATTATGCTACACGAATGCACTTTGCATTCTGCTGCCATAGAAATTTTGCTATAATTTAGGTCCATCAACAAGATGAAAGAAACCAGAACAATTAACTTTTAAGTAGGATAGTGGGAACTGATGCTCCTTCTAACTATTTGTTGAATGACTTCATAAAAGTCTTACCTGCATATGGCTATAGATGAAGTCATTTGAGTATTAATAAATGCTTCAGCCAGCTACAAGTTGACTGAATGAACCTGTCCTGCAAAGGAGCGTTTTAGCAGTCTGCAACTTCTGGACCAGAACTGGCCCAAATCCTTGGGACTGTGGCCCAATGCCCAGCTGCATCACTTGCATTACAGCTACTATCAGCACTTGGGTTCTGACTGTAGTTCAGCTTTCCTTCTCTTCTGTCTTCCACTGGTACTTTAGTTTGCTTTTCTACTTTTTCCTTCATCTGTGTCCCTCTGACAGGTTTGATCACAAATCTGTCAAATACAGGCTTTGAACAAAAATGCATTGAACAGTCCTGGCAGCTCACCGATTTTTCAATTTCCAAGCAGTCAAACTGCCACTGTTTAACAACAGTTTTGCCAGAGGCATTTTTTTTTTCTTTGCTTTGGGAACTTGATTCATGCAGCCTGAATTCCCCTTTTTGGATTTTAGATCTGCTGACCCTTCACACTATGAATCCTTCCTGCATGAGTGTGCTTAGACTGTTGGATTAGCATTGGTATAAACATCCCCTGTGTTGCTTTTGTGTACTTCTGCTAGGGTTTTGGGATGGGTGTGAATGTTTGCCTAGTGATTAAAAGGTTAGTTTGATTAAGGCCCCAGTCACAGGTTGTGTAACTCATTCAAAGACACCTCTGCTTGAATGCTTCCTTAGAAGAGAACGCCTGTTGTGTCTCAGTATGTGCAATGGAACTCGTGTAGCTGCTTTGAAGGAACTGAATTCCCCAAACATTGCAAGCTAGAAACAAAGTAAGGGAATGGTGTTTAATGTATTAAGTTTATTAGAAGCCAGAACTACTTACCCTTTTGTTGTATATCATTTTGTCTCAGCTTGTATTGTGCCTTGTTTGGGAATCAGGTTGTTTTAAGGTTCAGATCTTGTCTGATCTGCATGACTTCACTCTTTAAAGGTACTGTCTTAGCGAACAGTGATTTGTGGGTGACCATTTGCAGGTGGTTTCTTCATTCCAGCTACTTCTGCAGATAGGCTGGAGGCTAGTAACTGCCACTAGCAGACGAGCAAAAAAGGAAAAACATGACCAGCAGTTCCGAGGGGCCATTTACTACATTACAAACACCTGGGAACACAAATACTTCCCTTGCATGGCTGTCTTTCCCCCATATAAATACTTGATGTGCTTGCTCAGAGAAGGAGAGATGACAAGAGGAAGAGCCATAAATGAAAATTGTAGTTAGGTTTTTTATGTTTTCCTGGTTTGTTGGCTTTTGTTTGTCTGTTTTAATCAGTTTCTTAAGAAGTGTCCTTCCTTTTAGTATTCTTCAAGTGTCTTCTAAAATCTTTCTGGAATTAAATCACAGAAGATAACTTAAGTGTGGTTGGCTGGTATTCTACTCCCTCAGTTGTAGAAACTCCATGATGATTTAAAAACGTTGATGCAAGTAACTGTTTGTCTGAGCCCTTAATTTTTAGACTAGCTGGCCTAAATTTAGTACTTCTAGAAGTGAGGAACTGATAGCACCAGCATCAAGGCGTGATACAGACAAGCCATTCAATAATTCCACGTGCTCCTGCCAACACGCTTGCTATTTTAATGCTGATTGCAAATGAGATACAAATTCGTCTCAGGCCTAGCCCTGCTGAAATTAATAGTATTCACAAGAGTGATTTCGACCTTTGTGGTTATGGTTTTTTTGCTTTAGTTCCATTTTGTTGTAAAACACCTGCAAGAAATATAATTCAGTAACTCACTGGTTTAGTGTTTTATTTCTGCTAGGACTGAGAATACATCGGATAAAATGGTGTGTGTGTGTGTGTGTGTGAATATTCAAGTGAGGAGGTTTCAGAAACCTAAAATAAGACTCAACAGGCTCATTAATAATGGATACTAGAAGCGCTGACTCCAGACAATGGATGCTGGACACAGCAACCCACATGAATTGCTCATTGCCCTCCATTTCAGAAACCTGAACCTCAGTGAAATTGTATGGAAAAGCACAGCTGTGAACTAAAATTAACATGTGCACCATGAGGGCTAAAGCAATATAAAGTAGAAAAATACCACTTTCTCCTCAGTTAAGTGTGTGAGACACTGGGATGTGCTGGCAGGAAAATGAATTGCATTGCAGGAGAAATAAATGAGACATTCCCTCTGGTGTGTGGGGCTTAGAGGAGGGCCGTGGAGAATTATGCAGTTAGAAGACAGTTCCAGAAAAGATAAAATAGGTAAAGTGCGTAAGGATTTTCAGAAAGAAATACTGTTTTCTATTGGAAATGGAATACTCTGTAAGTGTGGTTCTGAGCACAACTGTTGTAGGGCCCATTTGTTTAAAAATCAGCAGTACATCAAAGATAGCAAAGTCTGTTTGCCCATGTTGCTATGGTGACAGATTAATGTCATTGTGGCTAGCTGCCTCTGCCTAACCAGATAATCTAATATAGCTGGGTTTAATTATTGTCACACTATGGGCATAACTACTTTTTTGTTTTAAAATTTGGGGCTTGCCACCATAGAACACAAGCAATTCAAAGATGCTCTCTGAAGCATCTCTGCCAAAGTGGAGAAACTAGTCTTGTACTCCCCTTTTCTGTTATTGTTCCTATTTTTATATCCATGCTCGGGGCATCAGTGAGTAATATTCAGCTCCTTAATCCTCTGACAGAGAAAGAACTTCTTGGTAGATTGCTGCTTCAGTGGGGGATGATTTGCCAACTTATTTTCTCCAATTTGCTCACATTCTTCCTTGACACAGCATCAGTCAGAGGATGAGAAAAAGGCAGAGGCATTCTGTTTACAAAGAAGCCCATTTCAGATGCCACAAAGAGCACTGGACCAGTTGCTGCCAGTTTAAAGAATTCCTGGTTCTGCCAAGGATAGATTCTTAATCTGTTTTCTTTCTGGGGCTCTGGCAGGCCCTTGCGCGCCCTCATGGCAAAATGTCTAAAAAGTAGGGATATCAATCTCCAGAGACATCTGATCCTCTACAAACAGGTATTAATCCTGAATTCCCTTGACTTCTCTCTATTATTTACTCCTTCTCGCTGAACAAATCTGTCTCGGAAGGGAAAAGCCTCATTATGGACTCTTTGTAGCTATCTTTTCAATGTTTAGCACTGCTGTATTTTCTCTGATGCTTGCAGAGTGAGCAGAAAGATCTGGTAGCACTAACAAGGGTGTGGAATCTCTCTGTGCACACTTTATGTACCTTTTCAGCTGACTTTTGATTATAAAACAGACTTTTTCCCAGAGGGACTTCAGAACAGACTACCTCTCCTCCATTTACATTGGTTCATACAGAATGTAAGAGTTTTGTAATTCTCTTGCTAAAAAAAAAAAAAGGTTTTATAAAACCTAGTGAACAATCTAACACTGCTAAGACTATTTGAGGAAGGGGTATGCCAGCCTGCTTGTCCAGGCATATGGTATGAAGCATTTACAGGAAGGTATATGCTGCTTAAATACAAAAAGATCTGTTCTGCTTGCTGAAATGCTCAGTAGTGGGACAGAGGGGAAAAGATCTGATAAACGTGAGAGAAGGTACCGAACATGTGCTAGTTAAATCAGCAAGAAGGCAGCAACTCAGAATACTCCGTTGAGCAAGCAGAGTTCTATTTTTCTGTTCAAAAACTTGGTGTATCCCCAAATCAACAAACTCTCTCATGCATCCACTGAGAGAAGACTCTTTCCTACCTTGTGTTTAGGAAGTGGAGCATGGGAAATAACGAGAGGATGAAGAGAGATTCTTTCTGTTCTCTTAAATAATCCAAGAAAGTTAAGTGGTTGATGGAAGTTTATACTTAGGGCTTAGGTTGGGGTTTCGTTATCTTTATCCAAACCTGATGCTTGTCCCTTGAGCTATATGTCTAGGAAGTGCAGTGCTTGAACCAAGCCATGGAGACTGTCTTCATTCTGGTTTTAAGTATTATAATTATGAACTGTACTGGATGACAATTTGCTTAAGTACTGCAAATAATAAAAATAGCAAATAATAAAAATAGCAATTAAGTACAAATAGTGAATACACCTTGATACTGGGACATGTTCCTAGGAACAGACAAATGCAATACTGTGTAAAATTCCTTTGCCTTCACTCTGAAAGGCAGCTAGATGATTGCCATACAGAAAAAGGCATGTCTGCAGCCCACTTTAATTTTGGAATAGTATCTCTTTTATCTACATAGCCAGATCATACGTGGAAGCTCTGTTAACCATAAATTACAGAGGATGCGAAGTAAAGGCATTCAAGTTTGGGAGAATTCCAGAATAAAGGTTACCTGTACATTTTAAATTTGGCTGGGCTGAAAAAGTAATAGTAATTTCATTTATTTGGTTTTAATTCCAATAATAACTATTTTGTTTTACTTCCAATATGAAAGGTGTGAGGTCTTACTGTACACTGTTGAAAATCTCTGTGAATACAGAATTGCTGGCATTCTCGTGGGCTTTTTTTATAGCGCTTGTCATGGTAGTATCAGATTATGTTGCATGTGTTAACTATGCATCTGTGAGATGAGTGCTGATTATCCCATTTACACAGGCAAAACACTCTTTTTTTGTTAGCGGGTTTGTCTACTTGGAACAAAACTTGACTAATTTCTACTGGGAAAAGAGTTTGATGTTTTTGCCAAAGTCTATCCCAAAAGGCCAACCTGGTATAGACAGCTGGCATAGAATTTTTTTTCCCTGAGCTTGTTAGCATGGTAAAACCAAAGCATGACTGAAATGAGATACCTCACAAGCAGAACGTTACGGCAGGACTGTGAGTAGGCTGCGTACTAGCTCTGCTTACTAAGTGTTGTGCATCACATTAACCATCGATCTAGAGCAAAGTGATAGTGCTTGTCCAATGAGTGCCTTAATCATATTGCCCCCGAGTCGTGAGTAAAACTGAGAAAGGAGAGGAGATCCAACTATTCTGTTTGCTGTGGATTACCAGTTTCTTAGAGACATTGGTGGATCTTCTTTGATGCTTCCCACACACACATACACACACCCCCCACAGGAAAACTGAGGGAAAGCTAGATGGACAACACAGTCAAGGCCGTTGCTATTGGCTAAATCATACCACTTTGCAATGTTGCTACCTCTCTCCACTCCAAAACTAGCTTTCAGTAAAACTCTTCTTCACCTTTCCCCACGAACTACCACCACTGCTGTGTCTTGAGAGGATGTTGGATGCTTTCTTTCCTTCACGACTGTTCCCTAAAGGGAGTAGCACAGGCCTGCTTTTTACCTCCATACACGCAGCTCCCTGACTGCTGCTAAGGTGTGACTGACTCTGCAGCTGGATGAAATGTTACTCTACATCACTGGCACAAGCAACTCTAGTTTCCTGGGAAACAAGTGCCTTCATTAGTGCTAAGACTGTATTGTAGGCAACAAACTATTCTTGCCATCAGTGAGTAAGCATCCCCTATTACATAAAAATAGAGCCCTGCAATTTGGGAGAAATTATTACACACTGAAATATTGAAATGATGGAAAATCTGCAGTATGAGGGCTTTTAAATTCTGGATGGGTGAAGTAGATGGAAGAAAAGCACATTTAAAAATGGGGGGGGGGGGAAAAAAACCCCACATCTCTGGAATACTTGTAAATATGGGCCTGAGGGGTAAAAATTAATAAAAAACAATCTGCAACTTGCAATTGTTCTGGGTATTTGCGCTACTGTTCAATTTCAAATGCTTGCAATAGTTTATGAATTCAAAGACGTGTATTTTTTTTATTTTCTGTTACAGATCTGGAGTCCTTACAAACAGCCTGACTGCACAGGGGATCTGGATGGTAGAATTGAGGATGATTCGCGTTGCCTCTACACTCATGAAGAGTACATCAGTCTTGTGTTGAACAGTGGTAGTGGTTTGTCCCATGATTATGCCAACCAGTCAGTCCAGGAAGATCCACGGATGATGGCCTTTTTTGACTCCCTGGTGCGCCGGGAGATCGAGGGCTGGAGTTCTGACTCAGACAGCGACCTCAGTGAGAGCACAATCCTGCAGCTCCACGCAGGAGTAAGTGAACGCTCCGCTTACAGTGAGTCGGAGTCCTCTGCCTCTTTGCATCACTCCCCACCACATGTGGCTGAAGAGTCTGATGAAACTGCCTATAACTTAAGGGCCTTAAGATCAACCGAATCCCCCTCAGCCAGAGAAGATGTGGCTTCCCGTCAGCAGAGGCTCTCTGCACTGAGGAAGTATCAGGATAAACGTCTCCTGGCCCTTTCCAATGAGTCTGATTCTGATGACAATACCTGTGAGGCAGAGCTAGATACAGAGCTCTTCCCACGGCCGCGGTCCCCGAGTCCCGAGGAAAACGAATCCAGCAGTTCCAGCAGCAGCAGCAGCACAGAAGATGAAGAGGAACTGAATGAACGACGCACATCTATGCGGCAACGCAATGCACTGAGGCGCCGACAGAAGGTGGTGCAAAAGGAGGAAAGGACTAGTACTAACACGGAGAATGTGACCCCCTACATAGGTGAGGATATCTATGATTACCCCCAGATCAAAGTAGATGATCTATCCTCTTCTCCAGCTTCTTCACCAGAAAGGAGTTCAGCCAACAAAGAAGTTCTTAAAGAAAGGACCTCTCCTTGTTCAGACAGTGAATCAGTGGAGAGAAAGATTTACAAAGCTTACAAATGGCTTCATTATTCTTACATATCATATTCAGCTAGTAAAGATGGTGAGTCCTCCAGAGCAGATGGGGAGAATGATGAAGGGAAACCAGGAACTAGTGGAAGGCACAGTACAGCACACTCACTAAATAAGGAAGATGCTAGGAACCTGAGTTCAGTAGTTCCTCAAGGTTCCCCAGCTCTTTCTACTGAAAGCCACAACAAAGAAACTTTAAAAGAATGTGGCTTGATAGAAAATTCTAGTAATGGTCAAGCTCGTGAATGTGACAATCAGCGGCGGATCGAGGGTCAAGAAAACACATCTGAAGACACTAGTAGTGGAGGTATAGAGCATTCTTTTGAGACGAAAAAGCTCAATGGAAAAGCTAACTGCAAAGGGCTAAATAGTTGTACTGAAGAACCATGCATTCAGACTGCAGGACTTGTGGAACAGAAAAATAGTCAGAACTGTCAACCAGCATCAAGCCATCACTCACTGGTCCCTCCGTTCTCCACTGTTGCCATCTGTAGCATGTCGGGTCACTGCTCCAGAAACCAGACTGATGACAGTGAGGAGAGGAGCCTCGACACCTCCTGTGTTAACCACAATAACGGCCACTTGCATCTTCGCCCTTCCTGCTTCAACAATGGACAGAGTTTTGGAGAGCAGGAGAGTGTGACACAAGGACTACAGGTGCACTCAAATGCTGATAATGGCAACCTTGTACAGGTGGGTGTGACCTTGCACAAAGACTGCTGCCTGTCTGAAATGGACTCCAACAGCTACAATGTGAGCACGAGAGAGGATACTGCTGACTTGCATCCTACGGGCAGTGAGAGTACTCAATCTCTTGGAGGACTGAAAAGACACAGAGCGGAGCTGGAAGATGCAGATTCAGAGGGTTCATCCTTAGAAAAGAAGTTAAAAACATGATAAATGCAAATGTCTGTCGTAGCGTGCACTCTCAAAAAAAAAAAAGAAAAGGAAAAAGAAAGTATTAAAGGCACATAGAGCTTGGGTCTGAAACATTGCGTTTGATTCTCCATTCCATTCTTCAGTGGGTCTGTTTTAGATTGCCAATGGTTCATGCTGTATAAAAATCCAACATACTCCTTAATGAGACTGAGTCTAGTGTACCCATACAAGGTTCTGTTTAAAGTAAATCCTTATTAAGACGGTTGACTGAATTATTCTTGTGTGAGCATGTGTCGTTTGTTCAGCCAGCCAACAAGGATGACTGCTTTAAGTTTCAGTTGTTCTTCTAAGAAGGAATTTTCCCATACTGATGCTTATTACACATTACAGGCTGAAGAATGATTGAATTAGATCACACTGGTGGTAGCTTGGGATGTGTTTCTTGTCAAGAAAAACAGGGAAGAAACCTTTCTGGGCCCTTTATTCTGCTTCAGAAACTAGAGAAATGCAACCATTAGGGAGGATATTTTCAGAACTGAATGGTATCTTTAGAGACGATGCTTCATAAAGCACTTGCTTCTGATACAGTTCAGTGACATTATTTTTATGCCAACAGAAAAGCTATAGGAAATGAGTCTCCTGAAATCAACTTTAGACTGTTCCCATGGTGACACTGAATTTTGTGGGGTTTTTTTTTTAAGGAAAATAACTGAGTAACACAGTGTCATCACTGTACTAAAATGTGATTGTTTGGCAAGAGGAAGGTACTGTGCTGTAGGCCTCACTCTGACCAAGGGCTATTAAAAATCAGGCATTGAAACTTGCCTTTCTGTGAGCTTAACACAGAGAGATTCATCATGATGATGACATATTAAGAATATGGCTCTGAGTGTTGGGATATATCTTGACTGTGCCCTCCGCTTCCCCCATGTGCTTACTTTTGGGAGGCAGTAGGGCAAAGAGAAAACAGCAGAAGGACGGATAATGTAACTGAGGCATGTTAACAGCAACACTTTAGGTAGAGTCTAAAAACTGCTTTTTTAGCAGTTTTCATAGTCCAAAGCTTAAGACTGGTTGGCATTGGAGATCAGGGTTGGTTTTCCACCACTGTGCTGCCGGTATTTACAACGGCGGATGGATGGATGGATGGATGGATGGATGGATGGATGGATGGATGGATGGATTCAGCAGAGTTGTGTGTGTATGGGAGAGCTTCAGAGAAATGTCCCTGTGTGTGAGGATGCTGGGACTCCAGGTCTGGCCGTCAGAACTTGAGCAAGAGCCTAGCTCTGGCTGCCAGCTGCCATGAGCCGTTGGACTGTTCAGGAGGACGGAGCCCGTCCTTGCCCGGGCTCTGGTTTTAGTGGAGTGTCTAGGGAGTCCTCTCAGTTCTGGCGTGCTGGAATCAGTAGAATTGCACTTGCTCCCCTAGCAACAAGGTAAGAGGAGTCAGTGTGTGTGAAGGGAAAAGAAACCACATCTCAAGGACACGAAAACTCTGTGTTTGTGCCTTGCAGCACTGACAACAGAAAAAGAGGCTTCTTTTGACCCCAGTAACTGTCTCAGGCTTTCAAGCCCAGTGCTGAGGAAGGGCTAGATCATTTTAAGGACTAGGAGATTTTTGCTTTTGCTATGACTCCAGCAGTACACTGCTGTACAGCACTGGTCTCAGAATCATTATTTCATATGCACAACTCCCTGGTGCCCGGGGAAGGAAGGAAGGAAGATGCCCTGTTAAAACACGATGAAAGTAAAGGAGCGCTTTAAAAAGTAAAGGAGGGAGGGAGGGTGAAGAACACAAGCTGAAACGTTTTCTTACAGCTCCTGTGTGCCATAGGCTGTTTGCCCACGCTTGGGTCAGCTTTGCTAAGTGAGAACTTGGAGTAAGCGTCTGATGCAGTAGTTCAGCAGCGTGTAGGACAGCTGAAAGGGAAGGGATGTTTTCAGACATGAGTGAAAGTGTCAATGAGAACAAGCCGATACATTGTTACCTTACTGAAAAAAATTGTTCTGTGCTGATTAGATTTTAGATCACTGCAGTCAAGATCACTATAAGAGTGTTCTCCTTGGTTGTGTAAACACCTTACTGTAAATCCTGGGGTTTAGCCAAAATCTTGAGGTTGCCAAGTCAAAACTTTTTTATTACTGTTTTTTGAAAGTTCTTTACACTGGAATATTTTCTTAGCTGTCATTTCTTCTGCCCTCCTCTGAAGTATGCCCAGACTGCTGGTGAACGAACATCTCCCTTCAACGTGGTCATCTGGTCTCAGCATTTTCTCAAATGCCTCGTGGTCTCACTTTCTGGTTCTTCCGTTTGTTTTCAAAAGCAGAATAAAAGCTCCCAGGGTTTGGTGTTAATGCTCCTCTATAGGCTCTGGGCACAAAGCTTTGCTGTGGTTTCCCCAAAGACAGCCTCCCATGCTTGTTATTTCTAGTTTCTGTCAAGCAGGAGGAGGAAGGTAGGCTGCGATCTTAACCTTTTGTTCACAGGAAACTTGAGCGTGCGCAAGAACTGTAGCTTCCGAACCAGCGGGTTCACCTCAAATAAATAAATGTTATCAGCACTGGGCAGCTGCGTTATCTGGAAAAGAGAGAAAAGAGAAGCAAAGGCAAGCAAGCAGCAGCATGCCTGCTGCAGGTAGCCAGCAATGATGGGAGCTGCTCTTCGTAGCTTGCTTTGCTTCGGCGCTGAGCCCGCGCATCCGTGCTCTGCCCCCGCGCTGGGTTGCTGACCGTGCTGTGTGCCCACAGCTTCCCGGGCTGTGAGGTCCGAGCGTTGCTTTACACTCAGGATTGTCACCCCCCGTTTCTGGGGAAAGGGAGCAAGCTGTTCAGCAGAAAATCTTACAAGTTCTTTGGAAAAGATTTCACTTTTTCTAATAATCTGTGCCATGGACTTTGGTTGTGTAAATATTGAACTGCCTTGTTAGTTAGCCACTGTTTACTTACCAATGTAACTTGTTATGGCAGGAAATTTGCTAGGTTCAGTTGTACCATTCATCTCCAGAAAGCCTTATCAGTGGGGAAGAAAAACTCTACCTTACGTCTCTTCACAATGCTTTGGACAGAGAAAGATTGATCTTTAAAGAAATTCCTGTTTCTATTCCTACAAGCTCACAAGCTATGCATTTGCTTATTTCAGCTTTCTCTGTTTAAAGCATTAAGGTCAAACCAACCTGGCTGTGAGAGCGGCCAAGCTGAGTCTTCCTCTGAAGCAGGCACTCAGGAGGCTTTTCTGGCCTGTGGAGTATTCACTGCTTTGAAAGAAGCAGGAGGAGATGAGATCTATCAACCAACATTCTGCTGAGTTTTTCTTCCAGCTCACAAGTGATCCTCTTACTAAAGCTGGCAAGTCTTCTCCATGGCGAGCAGCTCAACGGAGACCACACTTTGCTGTTGAGGAGCAGCTCGTGCTCGCAGGCAGGGCCCATGCAGAAAGGTACAGCTGCCTTGAGAAGGGAAGAGCACCGGGCTGTGACCGTGGGCACACCAGTTGGTTGCAGGATGTTCTGAAATCCAGCCTGTCTCAGCTGGAGCAACGATTGGGAAGGACAATGTCAGAACCTTTTCTTCTCCAGAAATCACAGTGGATTTTTTTTCCCCCTGTAAGTTTAATATTAGAGTAAGTGATTGAAACCTGGGTCTAATCTCCATTTATGAGCCATGTCACTTGGTAGCTAAAAATCACTCTTCCTCAAGTATTTAAAGAAGATAAATGCAGTTAGGGTCTACTCCTGAGGTCTCATACTTTTCCTGCATCATCTCATCCCAGTGAGGGGACAGAGGTCTCTTGCTCACTGTGGCCATCAGAAGGTGATGTGGCTTGACATTACTAAGCTCTTGGGGTACTTTCATTTGCAGTTATAATTTATTTTGCTGTTTGTGGACAAGAGCAAGATGGGATTTTTGTTATTACTTCATTGAGTTAAAATGGTCCATGTTAGTGAGTTTTCACCTCTTTTTTACAGGCAGCGCTAATGAGAGAGGTGCCCTTTTCACCTGATGCTTTCTCTCTCATTTTCACCCACTTGGGTGCTCCAAATGTCTTTCCAAAAGCCCCACCAAAAAACCCCAGTGGTTATGGCAGGTGCTAGGTTTGCCAAAGTTTTTTCCAGTGGTTGTGCAGGTCAAAAGCAGTGACATCTCAAAAAGGATGTCAGTACGTTGTTGTAGGCAATAAGCAATCTGAATTTGATATTTGTACTCTGCCCAACTCAAGTCAAGGACTTGAAATTGGGTCTCCTGCCTTTCACTTTCGTCCTAATCGGTCAGCCTATTGCATTATTCAGGAGTGGGCTTTGTTCTTCTTTTGTCTGAAATGCAAAGGGGAAAGGAAATGGAGACAGTTCCACACCCACTGGAGCTGGGCTTTGAGCCCCACTCTGATTGTTTATAGTTTGCTGAGAAAATCCTAGAGGGTTCTTTCTCCCTTCTCCACCTCATGGGATCTTTGGGCCAGAGGGCCAGAGGGAGGTGCTGCCCCAGCCTTGTACGCATCCCATTTGTCTTGAAGGTGGGAGGATTGTCCTTTCCAGACTGGGCAGAGTGTGTATGGTTGGGGTTGTTTTAATATTTTCCTGTAAACCCATAATACCAACCTCCTAAATGAGTGCCCAAGCCAGTGAGCTGTTTGTTCTGGGGTACGGCTGGCAGGCTCAGCTCTTCTTCTCGGGAATATTTTTCTGTTCAATTCTAGTCTCGAAGTCCAAGGCAGGAGCCTCCTCCAACTCACTGTTCCCCTTCCTGAGGTTTCTACGTCTCTTTGGGAAGCCCTGTACGTTCTTACTCTCTCTAGGATCTAGAGAGGCTTGCAATGCTGGGTGCCTAGAAAGCAAAAATGAAACTGCCCCCAGTTCAGAATGTCGCAATGCTCTTTGCTTCAATGACATTCCTAGTGTGTGATGGCCATATCTGGCATTTCCTGGCTTTGATTATATCCTGGAATACAATTTTCTCCAAAGCATGAGAAAAGTCTGCTTCCCACCTATCTAAGCTTTGGAGGGAGAGAAAGGAAAGATGCTCTAGGCTTTAACAGGCTGGGAATGAAGGGAAGTACCTGCTTCGAGCTGTCCATGGGCCCTCTCTCGACTCTCAGCCTTCCCAAGGTTTGCCTCTCCCACGTGCCGGCTCTGCTGTGCCGTGCACTTACCTGCGTGCAGGGGCGACGGCCACAGCAGTCCTGCATCTCCTTTGAACGCCACATGAGCACGGCGAATTGATTCAGTATGTCCTCCGGGGCAGATCTCTAGCCTTTCCCTAAAGAAGCTTTTTT